TTTTAAAGATTAACAATGAGTTAAATCATGCACAAATGAACATCCCAAAAATGTAAACATTTATAGGCATATATTGTGCATCCATAGTTTAGGGGGAACATCTCAAACTCTCCTTGGTAACCTGTTGAGGATAAGTGGACTCCTGTTTGAAATACATGACCCAGCTTCTACTAAAAGCCTGAATTCTGCTTTCCAGCAGCAACTGCTTGAGCAATGCAGCAAAGCTTTAGCTGGAAATGAAACAACAGTTTACAGTGGTATTCAAAGTGTATTAGGGTCTTTCCAGTCCTCTCTCTCTTTGTCCGGTCTCAGTAAACTGAGCAAAGGGAACAGAGGGCTATTTTTAGTTGTCAGCTCTCCTGCTGCAGCCTTGAATGGCCTTGACTCACTCTATCTTTTCTCTTTTTTTTTTTGTCCACATTTTAACTCAGCCATCGTTTAGCATGTCCCCCACACCTGCTGATGCTGTCAGGTATGATTCACTCTCTCAGCGCTGTTTCTATTTCTGGCTTGGTCAGGGCCCAGATTATCTTCTGTTTTGTGTAGACACAAGGCCACGATGACCCGATGTCATGCGTCTCCCAGCTGCCGTAGTGAACGTAATGGAATTCTCTTACCCGCCTACTTGTGGAAATAGCTTTTTTTAGCAATACAAGTGAAGAAAGCTGTTAACAAAACAAAGCCCAATGACACTTTAAAACTGCCCTCTACTCTACTGCCCTCAGAATGTGCCTGCCTTGTGAAACATTTTGCATACGGTGCATTTATATTATCAAAATAAATGGTTGCAAAAAGTCAGGGTTTTTTATGCAAATAAATGTTCTTTGTGGTTTTTGTATACATTCATTGACCATGACGCTGATATTAAAATTCTAATTCCTACAACTCAATATTATTTTAATTTTATAATTGATAGCAGAAAAAAATGGCTTTAAAAATTTATTGAAATTGTACACATTTAAAATTAAAGTATTTTCAAATGCTGTAAATGGATTTAGGCATCACAACATTATAATGTACAATACAAAAAATGGATTTTTATTTTAAGATTTGCTAAGATCTGTGATTTTAAGATAAAATTTTAACAGTGCAGTTAATTTATTAGCATTGGTTTAGACCAGGGGTGGCGAACGTCGGTCCTGCAGAGCCGCAGCCCTGCAGAGTTCTGCTTCAACCCTAATCAAACACACCTGAACAAGCTAAGGTCTGAAGGGTTACTAGAACGCTACAGGCAGGTGAGTTTTAATTAGGGTTGGAGCTGTACTCTGCAGGGCTGCGGCTCTCCAGGACCGGAGTTCGCCACCGCTGGTTTAGACAAACATTGAGCATGTACCATCATCTAAGTAAATGTTAGATGATTGCAAAGCCAATCTAAATGTAAAAAATAAGGGCAACAAGAGATTACAATTAAATATCCAAAAACACTGCATGTGATTTAAAAACAAAACAAAAAACTCTGTAATATCGGCCGATAACTGATATGGTACCGATATATCGTGCAGTGTTTTCATATAGTGTTTTGAGACACTAGAACATATGCATTTCACAGACAACTGAAACACTGCCAAAGACAGATGCACATGGGTCAAACATTTTATTTTTACATTTCTGACAATGAACGCAACAATATAAATACAATTAATAAATTAAAAGTTTAAAATGAACAGTTTAAAATATGGAACATATTCCAGAATGCTTGAATTAAAACAAGTAACTCATTTCTATCTAAATCAGTAAAGACTGTAGTATATTCCCTTTTAAATAATTATAATACAGGACAGCATTAACATCATAAGTTACGGTCTTTAAATTGCAGTATGTCTGCAAAAGGGTCATGCCCATCATTTAACAGTCCATCTGACCCCCGACAGTCTAATCACATTTCATTGAGTAGATTCCAGTTGAACACACTCCAGTCTCTCAGCTCACTCCAGCATGTGTGATTCAGTTTCCTGTGTCGCTCCTTGGCAGCACTGCGAACACAGTGCCGAGTCATTCTTCCTGCTCTGAGGTGAAACCATGAATCGCCTGTCCAACCGGACAAACAAAACCCACACTTCTGATCATTGGGTTTGCTGGAAAACATATCATCCAGTGCATTTTGTTAATCCCCCTCATGTCTCATTCTCAGTGGCATTAGGCTTCATCCAAAGCAGAACACAAATCTAGTGCAGGAGCCCGTAAAAGCTCTGACATAGTTTGTCCGCTTCTGTTCATCGTTCGGGCAGATTGATAACCGGCACCCACTGGTCCAATCCCCGACTGTCTCTGCAGAATCGATTCAGTTTGCCGAGGGCTGGATCCTTCCACGTGGATGACTGTGGATTCTGTGAGAGAAAAGAGAAGAACTGTAAATTGCACAATTCAGAAGGTCCACAGCAAGAGTCTGGCGGTGAGTGGTTTTAACAGCTGCTGGTTAACGGACAAGCACTTGTTTTCAAAGGGCCTCTCTCTAATTTGTTAAAGATGGTCACTTCACAGAGCTTTTCTTCCAGGAAACCGTGTTTGCAGAAATGCCCCAGTGTTGCACAGGAAGTTCTGCGAATACTAAAAGCTAGCCACAGAAGTTCAGCACTGCTTATTAGATCTCACTGAAGAGCTGCCAGTTTACTGCAGCCCCAGACCGGCTGGGATTCCACATCACAGACGCTCTAATGGATCATTGAACTTTAAACTACTCCAGTCGTGCCGCCCTCAAAGAGTTTAACTAAACCTTCCTGGCAGTTAATACGAACATGCATGAACAATTCCGATCGATCTGTGCGCTGGAGGCTACCTAGCGTGCAATAGGAGAGTGAAATGACACATACGGTGACTAATACGCAGTGGAGGTCCATCGACTCTCCTCCCGGTTTCACGCCTTCCAGGATCTCTGCCAGACGTCTCATGTTGTTCACTCGGAAGATATTGATGTCATTCTCGCAGCAGAATGCTTGAATCAAGGTAAAATGAATCTGGAGCGCGACGTCTTTCACATCCTCCTCGTCTGTGGCCAGCAGACATAAAACCACGTTGTCTGGGTCCCTGCGAAAATGACAATGAAAGTACATTTAAAAATGTGCAAAAACATTTAAAGATAATGAAAAATATGAAATAGTTTTTTCTTTGTGTCCAGCTTGCGAATCAGCCCTTCTACAAATCTTTATCTTGTGTTTTATTAGTAGTAGTTGTGTTTGTCTCTTTGTAGTGTCATGACCTTAAGAGTAATGATGGCAACATGGAAAAAAATGTTAACCTGTTGACTATATCCCAGCATTTATCACATTTTTAAAACGTGGAATGACCCATCTATGGTTTAGAAGGGATCTGCAATGACCACTTACACGTTAAGTGACTTCGCTGCCTCATAAACTCCCACAGTGATACAACCCTGAGGTAATGCAGCAGTCAGGACCTCTTCCAGTGCCTTTTCAACCGAGTCCATTCTACAAAATGATTAAAAACACATTAGATTTCATTTACACACCAAATTACCAAACTCAATTCTCTTAAAGCACAAAATGTAGGGAAACGTTCTGCATGAACGCGATTTGCAGCTGAAGAGGACATTTGATCAATGTCACGACTAGTACTGTCACTTGATCAAACTTCTGCACGCGATGCAGCAAAGCGTTTTAAGCAAGTTAACAGGAGACCATGTGCAACGCTCGAGTGAAAGTCATTTAGAAGCACACGTCACCAAGAGGAAATCTGTATTAAAATTTCGAGAAATGATTTGTGAACCTCGTGATCTTTCAACGGCACAGACAGATAACATACGCGTGATGCTCGGCTCAAACAAAAGTGCAACACCAGTAAGTTTAATAAGAAAACATACCTTTCCGTTGCGTTGTCTCCACACGGTTCTTCAAAAGTCATATTGCACATTAGAAACGGATATCCTTAGTATGTGTCGCGCACTGTTCTCCGTTAGCATGTAATCCTGTGTGGTCCAGGAGCACGGATATGCTGCTCACGCTGAGTGGAGTGATAAAATGACGCTAGTGTCAGGGGACAGTAGAGTACTCACTCCAGCCTCATTTACATACTGTCGCTGATTGGTCAGCTCACGTGGAGGTGCATACGTGAACAAGCAGAGCGACAACTCAAACTCATAAGAGCAGTTACTTTTAAAATCTCTTTATATATTTTCTAAATATTGTGCATGCACCGTAATTTGTAGGCAATCACATGAGTATATACTCCACAGAATATAACAAAATAAATGTTGCTTCAGGCCAACAATAATCTTTCTAAACAACGTGATTAAAGTGACATCTGGTGGCGGATTAGTGAAGTCTTTATTGAAAAACCTCACAGAGTAAACCACGTACAGCAGAATAAAGTTTTAAAAATGTTAGAATATAAATATAGAATTTTTGCGTAGTTTTAAAGTACATAACTAGTTAAAAAAATACATGCTAGTTACTACATTAGTAGTTTTAAAATTCAAAGCATTAGCCAATGGATCGCATTATTAAGTGCTAAACTAGATTATGTAGCATAATCTTTAACTCTTGACTATAGTTAATGCATTGGTATTATTTTACAATAATTTCACAAATATAGAGAACCGTAAAGAATGGGGTGAACGCATTAACATATGACAATAGAATACCATACAATACTGAGAGACTTTGCACTGACAGTAATTTGTTGACTGATATTAATGATCAAAGCCTGATCAGTAATGTGCATTATAGTCTACAAAATTAAGGGCACACTTTTTTTGTCTAAATCAGATGTCTAAAAAAAATAGCCAGTAAGAAGTGCTTGAAAAGGTTCACATTCATTTTTTTTCTTTAAAAATCTGAATGCATAACTGCACAATCACTTCCGGTTCTGTGGCTGCGGTTCTGAAACTGCTGGTGCTGCGGGTCTGCAGCTGGATATATCTCCAATTTTGCACAGTTCCCTTCATAACATGGCAGCGATCTCCTCCCATCCACGAGTAAATGCTGTGTTCCTCCGAAGTGTGTCCGAGCAGCTCCAGCGTCTCTACGCGATGATTCCGCTCGACGTGGCAACTTTGAATATTCCAAATATGGGAGTGAGTTCAGAAAGCCCAGGGCGCCTGTCAGACCTCTGTATGCAAACACACTGTAAGTCCTGCTTTGATTTATTTCACATTTACCGTTATTTATGTGTAAAATAACTTATTTTTTATGTTTAAACGCATATTAGTGTTTGTTTTTTTTACACAAATGTATGGCAGTTATGTATTTAAAGTAAAAATGATAAAAAGCCGATGTCCAGCTGTTGCATAGGGCTGACAACAGCTGTTTAGAACAGCTATGAAGAGGTTCATCAAATATAATGTGTATTTTGACTTCCTTGGGTTCTGCATTCCCTTTTAGAGGTAGAAAGGCAAAGAAACATATGGAGAGACTTTGAGACTACAGTAAAGCAGGTTCATTGTTCAGCTTTGTTTGTGTTGTGCTCTGAAATGATGTGGCATGTGCACTTTGAAACTATGACAGGACACAGCACAGTCAACAGCGCATATGGAAAACATCTCAAATAGACACCTGTGAGTTATTTGAAAGTTGATTATGAGGAAATGTTTCTTTAATGCTATTGTCAATCATGTTTAATTACTATATTTAAAAAACGTTAAACTTACAGTAAGTTTCCTTTCTATGTATATTTTGTGTGCATCAGTCACACCACGTTTTTAGGACCCACTTTAAATTAACCACTATCTACTGAGATTTCAATTAAGCATTTGATAAAGCACTAATTGTGTAGTTTTTATCATTGTACTTGGATTTAAATCATATTTAATTTCTATAATTACATCTATAATTACACATTGACCCTAACCACTCTTAAACCTAACTATTACCACTATTTGTTTCCCTTAAGTACATAGTACTTAAAATAAAAACTTAAAATCTCATACTGATGTCTTTAGGTATATCAAAATTTACCACAAAAATACTGACAGACTGAAAACAAAGGTCAGACTGATAAAAACGGCCTCTGTATCTATGCTCACTGATAACATTTGACTTACAGCAGGCAAAATCCTCCCCTGTTTGTCTAACTCCTGACTTTTGTCTGTGTAAGTGCAGTTTACTTTAAGTTTATCCGGCGCTGTGTCTCATGATGGAGCCCAGAGGGCAAGGCTGGCATACGCCAGGCTATCAGTACCAGTCTAGTAACAGAGACGACCACTACAGATCCTCCCACCAAACACCGTATTACTACCCACCTACAGACCCGAGAGGGAGAGAAAGACAGTGGCCCCATGTGGATCCTCACTATGGAAGCTACATGGCCAGTCCTCCTCCTAAACCAGAGTATATTCCTGGATATAGTAGTGCTTATGCATCAAACCAGCCATTACACTTCAGACCTCACTCCAGGTAAATCAGTAAAAATTGTTTTCTTAATCAGTATTTTATTACTTGTTTTCCTGTAAACATGCAAATGTCCTTGAACCTTTAAAATGTATCCAAAATAAATCTACTTGAGAAGCAAAATAGCATAAAATATTAAAACTTTTTTTATGAGAACATATCTGAATTACTGTTTGTTTAATTTCCTTAAAACTGGCTAATCAGTTCATTGGCATAAATTGCAATGCACTTTGTTATTGGCATAAACATCAGTATACTTAGTTTGATTTTAAGGTCATCTTACAGTATAAAAATAATACTAAGGTAATTGTGAGATAAAGTCTACAATAATATTTTTTTTTTAAACATTTTTACCCAACCCAAAATAAAGAAAAAAATACTGATTAAGACACCTTTTTAGTATTATTTTGAATATACGCGACCCTTCACAAGTTTAAGGTCAGTAAGATTTTCCAAGAAATGAACTGTTATTTTATTAGCAAGGATGCATTAAATTGATCAAAAGTGACAATACAAACTTTTACATTGATACAAAAAAAAAAAAAAAATTTTTTTTTAATTAATGCTGTTGTTTTGAACTTTCTATTCATCAGAGAATCCTAAAACGAATTACAGTTTCAACAAATTATTAAGCACCATTATTTTCCAACTATTTTCAATGTTAAATTAAAATAGAAATAAATAAAAGAAACTAAAATTCAGAGCGTTATTTTAAACTTTAATATTTCACGATATTACTTTTTGCTGTATTTTTGATCAAATAAATGCAGCCTTGGTTAGCTTAAGAGACTTATGCGACAAACTTTTGAACAGTATTTAATATTAATATACTGGAATATACGGGCACCTTGTTTGTTAGTATTTGTCAATGAATGAGCACAGTCTAAAATCCCAGGTCTAACTACTAATATCTGTTCAGGCAGGAATATGACTACCCCGCGTCCAGCTACTGGCCCTACAGAGACGACTACGGCTATTATGATTATCATGGTTATCACAGATCACAATACAGCTCCCCAGGTACATAATATTCAATCCCGTGCCCACAGTTTTTAATTCTCATAAAAATTCAAACTCACTTTAAGCCCATTGGTGTTTTGTAGATGGTGGTGGCTGGAGAACAGAGGGGTATCAGGGCAGAGGACTGCAGCAGGAGTCAGCAAGCGCTTCATACTTCGATCAGCAGGGGTCTGTTAATGGCATACACTCATACATTATATGCTCTGTCATGCCTGAAATGTGTTTTCAGAACAATCAAATCATTTTGTTCATTTCATATCAAGTAACCTTACACATTTATTTAACAGCTATAGCCATAGAACAGACAGTCATTATGACCATGGTGTCTCAGAGAGACAGCACAGAGAAAGTATGGAAAATGGAGATGGAACCGGAGAGGTTTGTTGTGTAAAGAGGCTTTATTGTAAACTTGCCATTCTTGTTCATAAAAGTCAACTTTAATATATACATTATTGTTCAATGTTTTGTGGTCAGTAAGATTTTTTTTAAAAGAAACTAATACTTTTATTCAGCAAGGACACATTATTTATTATCCCCCTAATCTTTTGAACAGTAGTGTATATATTCCAGCTCTTTTTGATTATGCCTCAGGTTGTTTTGTTTTTCCTTCTCTAGGTGTATGATAGTGGAGCTCTTGCCAACTCTAAAGCTTCAGGTCTGTCCTCGAGCAGCTATGAGCTCAGCCAGTACATCAGTGGTGCTGAACTGAGTGAGCCTGAGCTCATATCTCACACAGGTTTGTCACAACCAGGCTTCATAATACTGAACTTTAATGCTTTGTGTTTTTGTACAGCAAATGTGTGCTTGTTAATTTTCTTTTATTACAGCAGTTAGTTACAGTCCTCGAATCTGAATGGTCAGTGCATTCAGAATGGCTGTGGTTTATTTGGTCATTTGATTTAGATGCTGTACCCATGGAGGTGGCTCCACTGAAGTTCTGCATCCCTCATGTGGCAGTCAGCTTTGGGCCTTCAGGTCAGCTGGTATGGGTCAGTCCAGCTCTTGCCTCTGAGGGAGAGCCTGCTCAAGTGGAACTCCACAGTCTGGAGGTAACAGAGACATGGTACAAACATGAATTTTAAAGCATAATATGAAGTATCATGGTGGATTAAAAATGTTCTTTTAATGATTTCAGGTCATTCTCTGTGACACACATGAACAGCAGGATATGAGAGATTTCCCTGGACCACTGGCTAGGTATGATATTCCAAAATATCCCTCTCTCACAATAATACTAACATTTGCAAGACATTAATCCAGTCTGAAAAGTTTTATATAAATATTAGATTGCTGCTTTTCTTCTTTTTTCATGAAGGGAGGATTTGCATAAGGTGGATGCCATTAATTTTGCCCTCCAAATGTCAGAGAAATGTCTGAAGGATGAGAAATTAGAAGATGCCACTTCTGCTGCCCTCTTGTGGCATCTACTAATCTTGCTGTGCAGACAGAATGGAGTAAGTTCCATTACATTAAAGTATTTTAAGACCATTCTTTTCAAATCTGTTTGTGTGCCCCTTTTACACGATTAATGTGAGTATGTGTTGATGTTACAGAGAATCATGGGTTCAGATGTTGCAGAACTGTTGATGAGGGACTCCAGTTCTTTGGGTGCGTGTGGGGTCTCTGGTGATGAAGATGGAGAAACTCTCATTGATCTGAGTGAAACACCCACATCAGAAAAAGGGACCCTCAACTTTGCCGACCTCCTGACTGGATATCCTCCAACTGACAAAGAGGCTGCAGAGCAAAACCTTCAGAGATACACAAAACTATTGCTGTCTGGCAGAAAGAAGGTTAATGCTTTTATTGAAATGTATTTTCTACCTTGAGTCTCTCAGTCCAACCTTCTTCTGAGCTTTTTTGACCAGTAATGACCCTGTGAAACTGTTAACCAGTTCTTTCTTTGTTGTCATAATTTCTACTGAAAATGGAGATTGGGGCAGGACATAATGAAGGACGTCTGCTTAGTTCATTTTTTCCCCCTTCAAAGTCAATAGCCTCATTATAGAGGGCAATTTATTGAGCAAAAATATTTGACTCTTTGAAGGAACATCATCTATATATATATATATATATGCTTTAATCCATTTCCTATTAGAGAAAGACATTGTACACTGTAAATATGTACGATAGCATTAAAAAGTTTGTGGTTGGTAGGATTTTATAAATATTTTTGAAAGAAGTCTCCTATGCTCACCAAGGCTGCATTTTTTTAAATTAAAAATAGATCAATAGCAAAACCACAAATATTACTTTAAATTATTTAAAATAATTTTCTATTTAGATTTTTTTTATTTTTTTTTATGTAATTGCTTTTCAACTATTACTCCAGTCCTCAGTGTCACATGATCCTTCAGAAACCATTCTAATATGTTGTTTTGATGCTCAAGAAACCTTTTTATTATCAATTTTGGAAAAGGTTGTATTGCTGAATAATTTTGTTGAAACTGTGGTACAATTTCTTATTTTTTTCAGAAAGAAGGGCAGATTTTTTTCTAACAATGTAAAAGTCGTTTCTGTCACTTTTAATGTATTAATGCACCCTTGCTGAATAAAAGTATTAATTTCTTAAACTTTTGAACGGTAAAAAGTTGGTTTCTATATCTTACAATATTACTTTTTACTATATTTTTGCTCAAATAAATGCAACCTTGTTGAGCATAAGAGACCTTTAGACACATTAAAAATCTTACTGACCTGAAACTTTTGAACAGTAGTGTATTTGGAATGTAGTGCTTCCATAGTTTTTTTGTCATTCTGATAAATGTACTGCCAAGAGCTGTGCAATTCTTCTTCAGAATTTCAAATGTTATGCTTCATTGAAAAAATAACAGCATAAGGATTTGTAACAACATGAGAGTGGGATGCTAATAATGACAGAATTTTGAATGAATTTTGAATGAACTGTTCCTTTAAATGGAAGCGTAATACAGACCCCTCCAGTCACAGCTCATATGAAAACTCTTCTTTTCCTCTAAATTGTCCTCTCTGGCTTTCTCTTCTAAATGCTGTCATTATGCTCTCTAATTCCACTTTTTAGTCCTGGAGTAGTGAGAAGTGGGGAGACTGGCGACCACACTTGGCTGTTTTGCTGTCCAATGAGACAGGAGACCCCTTTATACATCACAGGTCCATCATCACCATGGGTGATACCCTAGGTAATGTCTAGTCCAATTTCTAGAAGTAACCATCTCCTAGAATGTTCTGTCATATTTTGGCTAATATCAAATGATTCTTCAAGTAGATCTCGTGTTCTCTTATGTTCTCCTCTCAGCCTCAAGGGATATGCTGTATGCCTCCCAGATCTGCTACCTCACCGCTCAATGTCCCTTTGGCTGGTACACAAACAGATCAGAACGCCTTGTGCTTCTGGGCAGCAAGCAAAGGTGAGAATTCAGCATGAGCACTAAGATATCTAAATGGCTGAGTTCCTGAATACAAATGGCTCTTCATTTTAACTCTTTGATTGCAGTGTTCTGTTTTCCAAGTTCTGTCACAACTCTGCCATTCGCTGTACTGAACTCTTTGAGTACTGCCAGAGGCTTGGAAATGCTGAATTTATCGTTCCTGCTTTTCAGGTATTCATACTGTACATTAACTACAGGAATCTTAGCAAATCAGGGATCTGAAGGTCTGAGGGCACTATTGAAAAATGCTTATGTTCTGATTTAATAATAATAATTAAAAAATCATTACACATTTGATCGAAATTAAATTTTGTTTTACTTTTTTTTTAATGTCCGAACTTTTCCTTATTTTAAACTGTTCAATGTGGTCTCAGAATTCTGGACCTCTTTGTATATCCTAATTTATGACTATTTATGTCAGATTTGTATAGGTCAGTATTTTATATGGTCATAAGCGCTACTTAATTTTAAAATTATTTAGATCATATGATTGTTTCACATTTGTTTTTTGATGTATTACTATGATTCAGTGTGTTTTATCTATTGCACAGTTATTATTGTGTTTTGTTCTGTGTAGGTGTATAAATTCCTATATGCATGCCGGTTGTTGGACTGTGGTCTGGCTTCTCAGGCTTTCCACTACTGTGAGGTGGTGGCAAAAGCTCTGCTCAAGATAGAGGAACCCCATGTGGTGTTGCAGGGAGAGCTTATTAAAGTAACACACACCTGCACATACAGTGCTTTTGTCTTTTCTGTGTATGCATTGAAAAGTGTTTTGTGATCTGTCTGATTTGTTTGCTATCACAGTTGGTGGACAGACTGAAGTTCTCCGAGGCACAGCTCAGTGACACAGGTCAGCCTTTCCTGGATCCCGACTGGCTGGTGCAGATTCGCTGCAGACGCCAGGCCATGCTGGTAAACCCAAAGTTTGTACTGTATATATGATAGTTATTAGTCCACTTTAAGATCAGCAGGACTGTTTATAGCAAGACTTAACACTATCCATATGGAACTCAATGTACAGACCACACTATCGTTTTTCATTACCCATGGTGCTTGCTCACCTTCAGGTCCTGTTTATACCTGGTATTGACATCCATCTTGGGTGAAACGGTCACAAGTGGTCATATATATATAAATCCAACTAAATACAAATGTTTTTGTTTGTTTACCTCCATACGTGGTTTCTGTGGAAATGTTTTGGACCCCATTTTTAGCTGTATTTATAGCTAAAACATGATCATTCTGTATGGATGTAGCGGACATCCCACCCTGCAAAAACTCATTTCAGGGAGGTAGCCTCACCTGAATATAGAGTATTGCATTATAATATGCCTCTAATATAATATAATATAATATGTGACCCTGGACCACAAAACCAATCATAAGGGTCTTTTTTTTTAAAATTGAGATATACATCGTCTGAAAGCTGAATAAATAATTATTATGATAGGACAATATTTGGCCGAGATACAACTATTTGAAAATCTGGAATCTGAGGGTGCAAAAAAATCTAAATATTGAGAAAATCACCTTTAAAGCTGTCCAAGTAAAGTCTTAGCATGTATATTACTAATCAAAATTTAAGTTTGATATATTTATGGTAGGACATTTACAAAATCTCTTCATGGAACACCCATACAATGACCCATACAATGTATTTTTGGCTATTGCTACAAATATATCCGTTCTACCTATGACTGGTTTTGTGGTCCAGGGTCACATAAAATAGAATAGGAGATTTTATGCCTCATCACATTGTACATGAATACAGTATCTCCTTAACAGATAGTCAGCTAATTTAAATTTAAATGACATTAGCACCAAAGTCACAGCTGTCCTCTCTTCTCCTTTTGCTCACTCATAAGTTGCATTACCTGGTTTAGTTAGTATTCATGCGCTGCACTCAGAGCTCGTGCAAAGGAGATGTAAAGTGTGATGAATTCCAACCAGAAATGGTCAAATGAGACAAATTTAAAACACATGTATACCAGGTGGAAATGGTAAATGCATCTGGACTGACAACTTGCGATTGAATCACCAAAAAATGCACTTTAATGCTCTAGAAATGGCGTTATATATAATCTGCAGACGTCAGGAAGCTATCAGGCTATCAATAGCGCAAGGCTCCTGGACTTTCTGGGAGAGGTGGTATGTCTGATTTTGTACCAGGTATAAATGGGGCCCTACACATCTTTAGAGGCTGCTCTTAATCACCAATGTTGTGACCTTTCCCCTGGTTCCACTCTCAGTAAAATGTTTATTTTATTAGGAGGGGAGCTACTGTAATGAAACATATCAGTCACCAGTTGGGGAGACTACTTGGAGTCATGAGGAGAGCAACGCGTGTTCAGGTTTAAAACATTTGCCAGATCTTTTTGACTATGTGCCCATGAAACTTTCTCTGAGCCACTAGGTGGCAATGAAACTCAGAAAGTCTGTCAGTGTTGCCCGTAATTTTAGAACATTGTTAATGTGCAGGAGAAAAGTGTTAACAGTTTGTCAGTATGCAGTAAAACATTTTGTGTTTTCTCTCTTGGCTTCTCTGTAGATTTTACAGAAGGCTTCCAGACAGATGCCGTTAACCACACTAGCACTGAAAACGAAACCTCAAACCCACCTCAATCCATGATACCTAACACTGATGCCGGGTTTCAGGAGTCTTACTCTACAGTGAGCCACTCTTACTCTTCTGAAGAACAGGCTCCTAAGACCGTGGCCCCAGTGCCACTGTACCCGACCCAGCAGCCAATGACGCTGCACCCAGTCTTCCCTATGGAAATGTCTGGGCCTCCACAAGTTTCAATGGACCAAAGCCACTCTAATCTTGATAGCAGCAGTAAAAATGATAACTTTTACACTGCTGCTTCTACTTTTCCTACAAGAAGCTACAATGATACAGGTTAGGATGACTATGGATGACAGAATCAGTATGACACAATTTATACAGTATATCGTTCTTCAATATCGTTCTTCTACACCGCCATTCAAAATTTAATCAAAAGTGACAGTAAAGACATTTATGATGTTCCAATGAATTCTATAAAAAAATGCTGTTCTTTTGAACTTTCTATTCATCAAGGAATCCCAAAAAACCTTATGGTTTCCAAAACAATATTAATCAGCACAACCGTTTTCAACACTGATAATAATATGAAATGTTTCTTAAGAACCAAAAAATCATATCAAAATGATTTCTGAAGAATTACGTGACACTGAAAAGTGGAGTAATGACTGCTGAAATTCATCTTTGCCATCTCAGGAATAAATTACAATTTAAATAAAATATATTAAAATCGAAAAACGTTACTTTAAAATTTCAATTTTTTTTGATCAAATAAATGCAGCCTTGGTGGTCATAAGAGACTTATTTCAAGAACATAAATAAATCTTACTCACCCCAAACTTTTAAACAGTAGTGTAAATATTTCAAACACTTCATTTCAAAATTAATACTAAACCTTTACCTTTTGTTTTCTAAGATGGTGACTTTTCTGCTGGTGCAATAATGGTGAGAAAAAGAGATTTCAGTTCATTTTCATTTTTAAGTTTGAGAAAAACCTTAGTGAAGTTGTGTCTATATGTTTAATAGAGATTGGAGGAAGTATTTTAACACAAAAAATTACACACATCACCTCTGAACCATTCACACAGGGTGCTGCTGAAAACGACGCTATGGTTGGTAGTGTTAATCAGTCCGGGACAATTCCTTATCAGGACAACCAGAGAGAGTCCAGCACACAATCAGCAAAGGTATTGTAGCGCACAGACTTTATGATCATTGGGAAATTGCTGTTATATGTTTTTTGCACCGGCAATGATAGTGTTAATGCGGGGAGTTCAGGACCCGGAAGAGGAGAAGATCGAGTTAGTCAGGCTGGTGCGGCTGTAAACCGTTGTTCTGCGTTCTAATTAAACGTGAATGCACGGAAAGTCTTTTGTCTGTCATTCTTCAGACATTACAGTATATTACATCAAATATTTACATGATTTCCTCTTTTATTTTAATTCATTTTTTTAATTGTTGTATTATTTCATCTCTGAACAGCCCTCTAAGCCTGGATGGTTCAGTGGCTGGTTCAAGTCTAAGCCTAAAGAAGACCCAAAAGAACAAATCCCAGAACCCAAACCCACCACTAGGGTATATGCTCTTACATTTCCTATCAAAAAATAACAGTCTAAGGAAGTTTGTGATAGAAAAGATCTAAATCAGAACATGTCATAAACTGCTGTATAAAATAACTATATTCACTAATCATGTGGCGGAAAAGAGAAAAAACTGAAACCCTTGTCAATTATAACAAAATTAACCATTTGTGCCATGGCACCTTTGAACTGCCATATTCTATAGTCAGTATTTGAATAATTGAAATTATTTGGAGAAGTTAGCTATTCAAGTTAATTTTGTCTTGCATGGTATAAGTATCCTTTTTTACACTCATTACATTCATCAAAGTGACTTGAACCTGATACATTTTCCAAGTTGTAAATACATTTCTTCTGTTCATCCATATAGTGGTCCTAAAAAGCAATTGGATTACTTATCCACATTATAAAGCAAAAATATCAAAGCAACACTGCAAAAAAATGCTTTTCTTACTTAGTTTTTTTGTCTTGTTTTCAGACAAAATATCAAAAAATTCTTAAATCAAGAAGGATTTTCTAGACAAGTAAAAATTATTGTCTTGTTTTCAGAAAAATCAAGTCAAAATTAAGTGAGTTTTTGCTGAGAACAAGCAAAATAATCTGCCTAGATATTTTGGCTGGAAACAAGGCAAAAAAATCTAAGCAAGAAAAGCATTTTTTGCAGTGAAGTGACAGCTTTCAACCAAAATTGATTTTACAGACATTTAAGGATGGCAGACGTATTCAGATACTTTTTGGGAGCACTATATACTGACAGAATTAATGATGCACCTTTTTTCACTGAGCCTCGTTTGCGGTCAAGTAACAATTTTTTTTTTTTTTTCTGTTTCTTGTTAGGAATCAACAGCCAACTTTCCTTTCCCTTCTCCTCCTCCACTCATCCCAAAGGCATCACAGCCCCAACTCAGTGGGATCAATCCTTTTTCTAGGAGCGCTGGTGAGTAAAGATCATCTGTACGTCTGCCTGGTTTTGGCATCACTGACTCGAAGCTCTGAGACGGTTACACTGAATGAGTGAGCTGACAGAATCAAACTTTTCTTGAATCACTGCACTTTTCGTTCTGTTTGACAACTGTCAATTTTAACATCCAACCCTGATCATACATCCCTTGCAGAATTAGTAAAGAGGGATAAAAAAATGCAGTTTGTTTTGTCTTATTTGAAAATACAAAATAATTACGGGTTAATTTAAAATGTAGTTATTTTGTCTTGTGGACTGTATATAAACATCTGTTATGTGAAGTAGCTTAGTTGGGGGATTACTAAATAAAATGCCATTTTTATTTTATTTTTTATTTAAAATTTATTAAAAAATAAAGCCTTTTCAAATTTTATCCACTTAACATATAACATAGTCAATAAAGTTCATTAATTTTTCTTAGGGTTCTTGAAGTGGAAATATGGAAAACGGTGAATTTTACATTTCTGATTTCTGGGCCTGGAAAAGTAAAGATTAATAAGATTTTAAAAAGCAAAAAGAAAGTTGTGGAAATTTGTTGGTCAAAAGGTGCTTTTATCTGGAATAATTATGCAATATTTATGTTTGACATCCATATAGGGCCAGTATTTTTGCACACGTTAGATATTTTAAAGTTCAAACGAGTTTTTTAACAAGTTTAATAGAAGCATAATTTTCTTTCTTTGTTACAGGACAAAAATTGTCTGGGACAATGAGTCAGAATCAAGGGTCCATTTCACAGGTAGAAATCCTGATAAATGCCTATATTTATCATAACTGTCATGCAAATATTCAGGTTAATTGCTTTGTTCATAGGGTCCCTAATGAAGGTTCGTAATTGAGGAATAATCACCAAATGAGGAACTCGGGGATGGACTTTCAGCCTCGTGACTAGTGTTCACGTGACCAAGTGATTCCTTAGGCACACCCCTTCAGTTCCAGTAGAGGAGGTCAGAGGGGCCTGTGTATCTTTATATACAGTAACACCTGTGGTTACAGAAATACACTGAGGACATAGAGTTCTTGAAATAATCTGTTAAGGGTTTGGTGCCCAGTCTTCTTTGAATGAAGACACTGAACAGCTGAGGCACAGCTCCCCGTGCTGACTCTAGGGATTTGTGTCATTCCCTTTGGGAACGGGGACATGATGGAAATGGGTGCTGAGCAAAGGTGCTGTGACCTATGGAAACATGAACTTAAGACATCTCCTCAGCTGGCAATGTCAGTAAATTGTATAACATGTAACACTTCCATCCCTCATCCCACCTCCCCACATGCAAAATGATTTTAATAATTTAAGTGGCTTTCACAATTCAAATGTTTAAGATATGGCGCCGGAGAGTAGTGAAAATGTGGGAAATGTTGTAATTGTACAGGTGGTCCCTTTGGGTCACAGCCTTGATTTATTCCAGAGGAAGAGATATTGATGTTTTATCCAATATCTCTACCAAAAAAATTTATTCTTTTGTTGTAAAAAAAAAAAATCAAATAAAAAGCAATAGTATTTGTATATGCCAATGTATTTGATTAACAAGTAAAAATATAATTAGTCAACTAAAAATATGCTATGAGCAACAACTCTTGTTGCATAGCAGGACAGTGGAATTTGACAAGATGTATGCCATCTTCTTTTACCATGAGTGTGCAGATCTGGCAGCAGAGGGACAAATGTTAGCAGAAGTGTGGAACTCTGGGAATTAGGTCTTGTGTTCTATACATACAGAGGGAACAACATGATTGAGTCACTACACACTCTCATGTTTCCAACACCACATTTCACACATGAATCCTGAAAAATACTTTTATTTAGTCTATGTGACATTTTAAATTGAAAAAAAATGCATTTTTGTTTATGATGGTAATGACATATTCACAATTATACAACATGTGATTTAATGTAAGTCCAAAAGAAAAGGTAACAGTTTATAATTAATTTAATTAATCATATAACATGTTCCACCAACCCCATCCCCAAAACCTCAAAATACAATTACACATTTTCCCCTACTGCATACATTTAGTACCAAAATATAGCACTACCACATAGTAATAGTAACATTATATAGCTTTAACAACATATCTTGTAACTTGAAATAGCACTGTGCATCCGACAGCTCTAAGAGAATTCACAATATTCTTGATCACTTTCTCTGTTTCTGTCACACACAAAATCTGCCTTGTTTGGCAAGATGCCATCAGCTGCCATTAACATTTTTCAAATGGCTCACCAGTGTGTTTACAGTGTGTTCTTTTACTAGGAATATACACAGTGATTTATTTGAAATCAAAGTTTTTCATCAGTGGTCCCCACAATTCCCTGCAGTTAACACTAGTGAAAATAAGTACAAGCCAAATGTTTTATTTTTTTATTCTAGCTATAACTATGTTGTTAAATATGTCTAAATATAACTATGTTGTTAAGGCTGAATTCTGACAGACAGACAGACAGACAGACAGACAGATAGATAGATAGATGGATAGAATAACCCAGGTTTACTTGCTATCCTCCAGTTACTTTAGTGCGAAATGGGTATAGATACAGACGATAGACCGATAGATAGATGATAGACAGACAGACAGACGATATATAAATAGATAGATAGATAGATAGAAAGACAGACGATAGATAGACAGAGACAATATATAGATAGATAGATAGATAGATAGAAAGACAGATAGACAGATAGATAGACAGACAGACAGACAGATAGATAGATAGATAGATAGATAGATAGATAGATAGGTATACAGACAGACAGACAGACAGACAGACAGACAGATAGATAGATAGATGGATAGAATAACCCAGGTTTACTTGCTATCCTCCAGTTACTTTAGTGCGAAATGGGTAAGTTTAGGTAATGCAAGTCGCAGCGTCAGCATGACTTTGCATGTGTTCTGTAAGCAGGGAATCCTGGGGGAAAGATTTACTGCACTGCCCGCAAACAAAGATTGTGCCCTCTCCATGCTGCTTCTGATGCTTCCCGAGTGCCGCAAGGTGGCTGAATGACATATTGCAGCTTTGGCAGTGATAGGAGTGCTCAGCTGCGTGAATACGCTGGTGTCGCACTAGCCGGGACGCCGTGGCGAATGCCACCCCACACTCTGAACACTTGTGTGGCCGCACTCCGCTGTGAATTGCGATATGTTCAGCGAGGTTGGAGGACTTGGTGAAAGCTTTGGAGCAAACGGAGCAGGTGTAGGGACGCACGCCGCTGTGGATTTTCCTGTGCTCTGTCATGCGACTGGCCAGGGCAAATGCTTTCCCGCACTCCGGGCAAACAAAGGGCCTCTCACCCAAATGCGTGCGCTCGTGACGGAGAAGAGACAGGGGTTTGTTGAAGGTTTTGCCGCACTGCTCGCAAAGAAACGGCTTGTTGTTGGTGTGCATGTTGCGCTCGTGCTTCCGCAGGTCTGAGGAACGCACAAAATCCTTGCCACATTCCTCACAGATGTACGGCTTCTCTCCGGTGTGCGTTCGGATGTGTTTGCGGAAGTCAGAGGACCAAATGTAGCTTTTCTCACAAAATGGGCATTGGTACGGTCGTTCGCCCGTGTGTAGCCGCTTGTGCTGCTGAAGAGTTCCTTGGTGCGAGTAGGCTTTCCCGCACAGGTCACAAACATGTGGTTTAAGACCTTGGTGAGTGTCGATGTGGCTCAACAGGTTGCTGGACTTTTTGAAAGCCCAGCTGCAGTACAGGCACTTGTACGGACGGTTTTCCGTGTCTCCCTCCATTCCTCGCTTCTTCATGGCTGCAAAGGCAAAATGATTTTTTAAAACCTGCCTCTGAGAAGAGTTCAGGCTGTCCGCTTCGTTTCCCTCAGCCTCGCATTCATCCCCCACAGTCTCCTGCTGATCTCTTGGAAGCGCCGTCAGTTCACGTGGCGCAGTGATATCCACCTCCTGTTTCACTTTCACGTTGGTGATGCTGATCGCTTCCAAGTGCTCATGATTCAGTCGGGAATCAGATCCAGGCTCAGCCTTCACATCAGTTATATCAACTTCTCTCTCCTTTTCATAGGATTGCTCAGAAAATTTATCAGGAAGGTGGCATGTAGCTTGAGTCCTTGAATTCTCTTGGATTCGTAATTTTTTTGTTTTTCTTTCATCGCAACTGGTAGAAGTACTGATGTCCTCTTCACTGGGTAGATTATAACTCATTTTCATGGTGTCAGTAATGTTACTCTCCACAGGCAGATAATGCCTCTTGCTGATGAGAATCTTTCTAATACTTCGTTTTGATATGTAGACATTGTCTGTAAAAGCTGTTGAATTCCACAGGTCATTCATTTGATCCATTGCAGATGATTCCTTGAGTAGAATTTAGTGCATCAACCTTTATTAACAAATTGAAAGGTCTGTGTGATCTATGTTTGCAATTCCTGAAAAAGAAAAAGCATTGGTTCAGTTCTCCGATTTATATTCTTGAGAAATACAGTTAATCTCAATTTTATGAACTATAGACTAATACTTTACACCTCAACATAAATATTTTACTGAAACATCCTGCTGCCCTACATAGAACACGAGTTTTTGATATAATACATATCAAGATATCAAGAAGTCAAATTCACTACAATTCATTATGCACCAAATACAATCATTTCTAAGATGCTGGATTTGTGAGTACTGATGGTATAATGAAGCTATTAAGATATCCAGCATAAATTATACTAACTGGAAACCCTCCAGTAGATCCTCTTGGAAGAGTTACACACTCTTTGAGCCTGCAAAGACTTTATTCTCAGCTGTCATAGTGCATAGTAGGGACTCTCAAGAATCATTAAAACATCCCACACATGCAAAGAGTCTCTTACCTTGGCAGCACCAAGTCCACCAATGGTGATTTCAAAGAGTGCAGTTAATCCACTTCCTCTTCATGGTGGATGTTTAAGATAGCATAGGAGGAGCCAGAGCGCAGTTAGACTTGCTTCACGTGGGGGAGTGCAACATCTTTTTAGCAGTGGTCAGCACTTTAGCAAAACCATTTGCTGTCGGGAAAGATCAACTCATTGACACTTTCACCCATGCCAGCTGTGAGGCACACGGGATATTTCCTGGGGAGCACTGCATAAACATGCTGATATCAATTACAACCTACCAGAATTATATTTACTTTGTTGTTTGTTTTGTTTTGTTTTGTAGGCTGTTGCAAAATGATGAAGCAGTCATTCCACTTATTAATCACATGTAGTAAAATGAGCCATCTATCCAGCCTATATACTGTATATCTAATAGCAGGTTCTATGTTTGTTGTTCACAGATCAGTTTACACTGCAGCAATTTTTAACCACATTTTCTCATTCGTATAAATGTATGGTTGTTGTTTTTTTATCTGACTGAGGAGATGTCAATATTCCACATTCCATTCTTTAGTTAATTTAATTAGCATGTAAATATTTCTACTAATTCACTTATTGAGTGAAAGAATTAAGAACAGGAATAACCTGCTTATGTTAGACATAACTGACAACCTGATACCCATCCAGCATATATAGATAAAAAAAAAGTGTCAGAGGAAATATGAGAGGAAGAGAACATACTGTAGATCAGCTAGTACAAGACACATGTTTGCCGCTTAAGGTTCAATTTACCCCTCAGTGTAAATGCTGATGGTAGGGTATCCTGACATTGAGGCCTACTCTGACCAGAATAAAAAGAATTGGTGGATTGTTTTGCACAGTGTTTGAAGAAAATATGTTAGACATTTTGTCAGCCTTTCTTTATATGCATGTATGTATGCATATGAAAATGCTTGCCTAAACAATCCACCAAGCTTAGTGTTCTTTCTCTACTAATTTAAGAGTTAATGAAAGTGCGGTGAGTTACTCTCAACAGTCTGTACATAAATGTAATTTTATGTTGTATGGCACAGTATGATAGATCACATATAGGGGAGAATGGGGTTGGTTGGCACTGGGTTAATTTCTGGTTCATGAATAAATATAAGACTAGCTAACTTGTATCCTGGAACAAATTGAGCTGCAGCAGTATATGTAAGACTAGCTAGCACACTAATAGTTGCCAGACAGCAACCCTAGCTCCCTTGATGACACAAAACCTTTTTAAATGCACTTGTTGCACACGCATGTCATCGTGTTAATATAATACTTGAACTACTTGCGTACTTGCCTTTTCAGCAGCCCATTAAAAGCACCAGAAGCTTCAACAACAGCTGCAATTTGCTGTCGCCCATGCTGAGCTGAGCGCATATGCACAGCTGAGATAGTTGTTACCGATTATAGAGCCTGGCCTACCAAAAACATGGCATTGCTTTCAGATTTTCCAGAAAATGAACAATTAGTGTAAGAGTAAATTGCATTTATTTATCCCTCCAAGAGACTTTAAAATGCCATTCCTCTTTAAATAGAAATAATGGCAATATGCCAGCCTTGCACAGTCCCATTACATAAATCATTATATAAGATATGTTCTAGATTTATATTTATAATCTATTTAAGAATACTAATTGAAATTATCATTTATATTAAGGACACATGACTGTATTAAAAGATTTGTTTATTAATTAATACCATATTTATTTTAATAATTGTTTAGATTTAGCATCGGTTTAAAATCCTGGATAGCACAAAGGGCAGTGGAAATGTCACTGGCAGAAAAAAAAAACATGATGGAGAGGGATCAACTCAACTTCTGACACAACATAGAAAGGGAACCTGGATGGATAGAATGACTTTGAGAAAGACATTTGGACTGGCTCAGAGTGGGGAAAGAACAAGGTTGTTGAGGTGAACTGCAGTTCAAAGCATGAGAGTGCCCAGTGAAAGTTGCCAGTGTTTCTGTTTAGTATGTATACACACATACTTACAGGTATACTGTACACACTGATCAATCACAACATTAAAACCACCTGCCTAATATTGTGGAGATCCCCCTCGTGCTGCCAAAACAGCTCAGATGAACTGAAGCATGAACTCCACAAGACCTCTAAACCTGTCATCTGGTATCTGACACCAAGACTTTAACAGCAGATCTTGCAAGTTGCATGGTGAAGTCTCCATGGATTGGATTTGTTGGTCAAGTACATCCCATAGATTCTCAATCGGATTGACATCTGAGGAATTTGGAGGATGGAGGGTGTTCATCATACTGTTTCTGAACAATTATTACTGTGTGTCAGGATGAAGTGTCCCGCTGGAAGAGGCCACTTGCCATCAGGGAACTCTACTGCAATGAAGGTCTGTAACTCTAGGTAGGTATGTGCTAATATAACATCCACATGAATGCCAGGACCGAAAGTTTCCCAGCATATCATCTACTGCTATAACACTACATCCACCAAAATACTTTCTTCCCCTAGTGCATCCCTGGCCATTTCTTGCCCAGGTAAACAATGCATACACATACAACCATCCTCCTGATCAACAAAAACGAGACTTATCAGACCCAGCAATTTTCTTCCATGGTCCAGGTCTGATGCTCACGTGTCGTTGACGGCACTTTCAGTGGTGGACAGAAGTCATCATGGGCATTCTGACCAGTCTGCGGCTACGCAACCCCATACATCAACTGGGATGCACTGTGCATTCTTTCAGTAATTTGAGTATATATACTATTTTTAACTGTTCCATCATTCTTTTAAAAAGTCATTCTGTTTCATCAGCAGTTATTCTGCTCGTAAGTACGGTTTATGGTTCCATTAATACATGAACTCTCTTAATACATTGGTTTGGAATCATGATAATGCTAGTAAATGCTCTCTAATATAACCATGCATAAGTGTTATAGTCTCTCTGGAAGATTCAGTTCATACCAAAAAAAAAGTCACCATCAACTTGTTTGTCCTGTGAACAATATTCAAATGTCTGTTTTTCATTCATTTTATTTAGGTTATGTCACATGTCCAGTACTCTGAATCATCCTAAAACAAAAAACAGCAGCGCAAGAATGCTCAGCACTGTTACTAAATATTTCTCAATTCATTTTGTTTTATTCAAATACAGAAGAACACACTGATTATTAAGTCAGTAAGTTTTAAGCTTAACTCGTTAATTAAAATATTATCTTTATACACATGCTGTATATTATACAGTACAGAAATTATGAGAAAGACTTTTAAAACATTATGTAAATGTGATCAAATGTTTCATGGATTTAATATACAAGCAACACTGTATCAACTAAGACTTAAAGGGTTCACCCAAAAATAAAAATTCTCTCATCACCTCAAGTCGTTCCAAACCTGCATGAATTGTTAAATACACACACATATATAGTTTCTTTCTAAAGCAACTCTTTGTAAAGTCTACTTGAAACTTTCTCATTTAACACAATACTAGCTTTAAATTATCTTTTGTGGGTATTTTCACAGCCAAATTTAGTTTGCGATTAATTACATTAATTAATCGCAGCACCCTGCAATTAAGTAGATTAAAATTTTTAATCGACTGACAGCCCTAATATATATATTAGGGCTGTCAGTCGATTAAAAATTTTAATCTACTTAATTGCAGGGTGCTGCGATTAATTAATGTAATTAATCGCAAACTAAATTTGGCTGTGAAAATACCCACAAAAGATAATTTAAAGCTATTATTGTGTTAAATGTTTAAGCTACAACTGCCTGACATAAACTATAGAACATAAAAGAAGATAATTTGAGAAACATCTCAGTAACTTTTTGTTCATGAAAGTCACTGGTGACCAAACCAGCTTTGTTAACAACAGTCTTCAAAATAGTCATTCAGGTTTGAAACAACATGAGGGTGAGTAAATGATGACAGAATGTATTTTTTTTTTTTTGAGAACTATCCCTTTAATGTTTTTTTATTATTATTATTTTAAATAAATGAAATTATAGGCTACTCTAAAAAATAAACTAAAACTACCAGCAGGTGGCGGTAAATATCTTTATGAGTCGATTCATGGTTGATTCGTTCAAACGGCTGATTCATTCAGGAATGAAGTAAACGCTTACTTTATGAATGGGCCTTTGAATAATTGGTTCATAAATTCGTTCACGCGGATTCATTCAGAAACTATAAACACCGCTGTGTTGCTCGGAGACACACAACAGTTCTTCTGTGGCTTTATAGGTAATATTTTCGTTGGCAAAATGAAACAAAAACACACAATATTGTGTTTAAAATATAACACAATATTAACTTCTTATTTACTGAACTGTAATTGTATCCAATCACATTTGCACTCGTGCAAATCAGGACCAAAGCGGCACTCGTGATTGCTCTGGCTGCTTGTGTGATATTGCTTATGGTTTAAATATGAGACAAAAAGTTATGAGAGATATGAGACATACAGCGGCATTTTTTGCCCCAATATCTTGAATTTTAGGGAATAACTGCATTTATGTAGTTGTTGTGAGAGGCTTCATGCCCATAAAAGTGAGGGGGCACATTTTGAGCCAAGTGGATTTTGAATGCAGCTTCCAAAAGACAAAAAATAGCTGAATAATATTTTCTATATTTGATACAATCACACCAGCATGATTAAATCTTTCAGCGCGTCATATAATCAGCTGCTAAATTCAAATCTGCTTCGCTGGCTGGCGCTGAGCCAGAGACAGAAGCGTTTTTACAGCACTGCGCATTAACCAATCACACACCATGCTGTTGAGCTTATGAGTGCAATGGCCAATCAGAGGCGGTCAGATGAGTCATCGCTCAAATGCAGGTGTTTTCTTCACTGCTGGCTGTCTGAATACCTCTTTCTGGCGAATTCTCTCGTTTGAAACAACAAACTGCTGGTGTGTGTATGAATCTGTAAGTAAGATATTCATTTTCACAGTGTAAACAGCTTCAGTGATTTTAATGGGAGCTTTTGAGAGTGCTTAAACTCTAGACCAGGAGTGCCCAAACTCGGTCCTGGAGGGCCGGTGTCCCGCAGAGTTTAGCTCCAACCCCAATTAAACACACCTGAACCAGCTAATCAAGCTCTTACTAGGCATACTAGAAACTTCCCGGCAGGTGTGTTGAGGCAAGTTGGAGCTAAACTCTGCAGGACACCGGCCCTCCAGAACCGAGTTTGGGCACCCCTGCTCTAGACTGTCAGTGAAAAATTTCTTTGATAATGTAAATGTTCTTTGCTTTCTTTCTGTACAATGAAAGTATTATGATAAGTAACCTAACTTACAATGTTTTTATTCACATTAACTTTCAATGTTAAATTCACATTAAATATAAAGTCAGTCGTAGGCTATTAAAAATATGTTATGGCATGACACCCATATCTGTTAGGCTACTTAAGTAAACCGACAGGTTTTTATGTATAGTTAATAGACTAAATTATTAGGCTACTTTGACCATCGCCCACTATAGATCAACTAACATAATCTATAAAGGTGAGAATCGAAATATTTCATGATATGGTGCGTTTGGGAATGTTTCGAAGGAAAAAAATGAATAAAACATGAGTGGTATTGTGGCTGCTGTGTGTCACATGACGACCCCCCCCCACCCACACACACCTTCTTTGATAATGTAAATGTTCTTTGCTTTCTTTCTGTACAATGAAAGTATTATGATAAGTAACCTAACTTACAATGTTTTTATTCACATTAACTTTCAATGTTAAATTCACATTAAATATA